AAACATGAAAATCCTTCAGAAAGAATTCGCCCAAGGCCGTCAAATTTTCAACAAGATATTTAGTGGGTCTTAGAAGATAATATTTTTTCACTGTAACTTTGTTCGTGCATGTGCATACGAATACCGGTAAATGCAGTAGGTCTTGATGCATCGTCCAACAATGCGTACAAGCATCGAAAAATCTCAAAGCATCGGGGCCAGCTGCTTTGTCATGCGCCGCAGAGTTGGTAGTGCGGTAGCGATTTGCGAGAATGTCAAGATCCTTTGTGAACAAAACTGCATTGGGCTTGACTAGCAAGGTTGAGCACGCCCCGCCTGGAAAACCACTAGCTCATAAAATGCAACGGGTTTCTTTACCGGCTTGTTGATCTAGTAGTATTGACTCCGGCAAGTTGTAGGACAGGTTGGAAACTTTGTCTAGCGCCCTTCCAGTCAATAATCAGCGCAGATGCGTGGCTACATCCAATCAACCTTGTACCTGGGCGCTGAATGTAAAAATCATGCTCCTCCTTTGTATAAGCTTCAACCGCAGTTTTTAATCATAAAATTTAACAGACAATCTTGCTTAGCCGAAAGATGTGTTTTGCAGTGGTTAAAGGCGCTAGAACATGCATGAGGTGGCGCAGTAACTCGCGTGGACGTCGCGTGGACGTTCTGACTGAATGGGTTGCGCTAATCTGTTGTTGTCCCTATGCAGATGTTGGGCGTTTGACGTTGCGCAATGTATGACCAATAAACACGATGAATTTGATGCGAGCGTTGGTATGATGGCACGTACTAGTGCTTGTGAATGACAGCATGCATCGTGACCCCAATCAAATTGTCAAAGATGCGGTTTTTTTAGCCCCTGGAAGACTACACGGGGTTCAAAGGGAAGGCTCAAACAGCCAAGGCCAAAGCTACAGATTGCAAGGGGTTCACTGCGCTGTTCAGCCGGTGTGCAGCCCGGCCAATTTATCCAAGAGTAAAGGGCATGTGAATTGTGGACCGAGACGCTGCCGTGTCAAATGGTCAGACGCATGAATGTGATGGGAGTAGAGCAGAAATGCAGCGGCGATTCACTGCCTGGGGTTCGAGTGCCAAGTCGGCATTATTAGAAAACACCTTGTGCTGGGTGGGCGCGCAGGCCCACGAATATTGGAATGCGCCAACGCCGCCGCCGCGCTATTTGAGGCACAGCGCCAAGCCTAGGACAATCTGACTGGGTTGGTGTAATTGATTAACTGACTAACGATTCGATGATTGGGCCAAAATATCCTTCGCAACTTTTTCAACATGAACCTACATGAAACCTTTGTGTTACATGCTTAGTCTTGAGATAATGAAACCAAAAACTCGTTCGTGTGCATTGATGCGCTGAACCACGGCGCTTCACCTCGCTTGTTAGCAATTGAGCAATTTGACGGGTAAACATGAGCCAAGAGGCGTCTTGCACACTATCATATGTATGTGTATACACACATATGTAAATAAGTATATATATATATATAGTATAAACTATATAGATATTAGGTAGATACTCATGTAGATCAACGCGCTTCAGCACGGACCTTGTTACCAATGACTTTGGTTGAACAAGGCTTTGTCTTCCAGGCATGGTGAGCTGAACGCCGACGTGGGTTTCTGCAAGTGTGTCTGTGCGAACCGTGCGATTGCCAGCCATGTTTTGTCCATCTCGTTTGCTTTCTGATCTGTGCCATACCAAGCACACCGAAAGGCGGACAAACACCAATCTTTGCAAAATCAGAGCTGGATCGATTTAGTTAGCAAAGGACTTTGGAAGTTATTACGGGAAAACCTGACCCGCCACCAGTACCAAAGGCTGTTGCAAGATCTGACAGTTTAAAGGTGGTGCAGTACCGGAGTCGGTCAACTCAAATCAAGTATTGTTCGCTAGCAGGAACCACTATCACCATGCGGGCTCTGATCAATAGCAATCAAATCTTCAAAGTTATTCCTAGCTGCAAGACAAAACAACCAACCACACACCCACATAAACAGACACTCACACACACAAACGTGCTTTGACCAGAAAAACAACATACTGCCATAGCGGATGAGCATCGTGCTTCTGCAGCTTATCTCCGCATAGAGGTTCAAAAATTCGGCGCAGGCCGGTGCTCGTGAAACTCTTAGCCCCGGAGCGGCTGTAAACTGCTTCAAGTCGGGCCAAGAGCGGCCAAAGTTCATGGTCAAAAGGGACCGGAATATAATTCCTCGTTTGGAATGAAACCAAAAAAGGGGGAAGATGCGAAACCAATCTATCCTTTGGGCGCCGGCCAGCAGCAAGAATTTTGAGGGTGCTAAACCTGGGAGTCCCTTAGAGCGCCAAGGCTCTCCACTGCTGGTTCAACACCTTGGTGGAGCTGCTCCAAAGCTTTAAAGGCTCCTTGCATCATAGCCTGGCGCGGCTGACTTTGCAGCAAGCAATCCCGCCATGCCAACGCCATGTAAAAGGTATAAACCAGTGAAACAAAAGCAAGTGCATCTTGCTGGATCTCCAGCCATGTGGGGCATACTACAATGGAAAAGTATGCAGTCTGTAGTTTTGATTCAAGTGTCTTTGCAAAGAATCGTCATTCTGCAAGATCCTCTCGTGCCATAGTCAATGATTACGGAAAGCCAGATTCCATCAATTTTTTCCGGGGGGCTGATTTTGTTTCCAGGTCGACCAAGGACGTTTGATGCCAGTGGACTTGCGCCATATCCATACCTTAGCCCCCGGTGGGCTGCCGGCACTGGTATGTATCACTTGGTGCAAGCTTTACCCACAGGATTTGTCAGCTCTTGCTTGCATGTTCCAATCCAAACCTGAGAAGAGGGGACGAAAGCCAGGGTCAAGTTTGAACGGGGACAGGAGAGTGGAGAGCATGGGAGGGATTGCGGCGGGGGGTTGGTGGGGGCATCGGGGGAGGGGCGGAGGGGCCGGCATGGTGAGGCTGTGTTGGGTGTGGCCGTGGGGAGCCCTTGGAGAGAAGGATAGAATGTGTAGGAAGAAGGAGCGGAGGGAAGAAGTGTGGGAAAGGTAGCGAAGGGTGAAGAGAGCGTAGGAGGAAGTGGAACGGGGGCCTCGTTTAAAGAGCTGACGGGGCGCAAAGGAGCCCGGAAGGGAAGAGGAGGTGTCGGCGGCAGGGAAGGCAAGGAAGAAGGGGAAGTGGGCGCCTGTGGAGAAAGAAGCTCCGTGGTGTGTTTGAAAAATGAAGTGAAAGCGGGTGGGTGCTCCGCACTCTACACTTTAGAGTGTGCACTTTACACCTTACACTTCACACTCCACAGTCTACACTTTACACACTAGACTGTCACTAGACTTTACACTCTACACTTTACACTCCACACCGCACACTCTACGCTTGACACACTACACTTTCCACTTCACACTCTTCACTCTACACTCCACACTTTAGACGTTACACTTGACACTCCTCACTCCTCACTGCACAGTTGACACGCCATACTCCACACTTTACACTCCACACTCTACACTTTACACGGTACACTTGACACTCTACACTCTGCACTCCACACTCTACACTTGCCACTGTACACCCTTCACTCCACACTCCGCCCTCTGCACTTGACACTTTACATTTTACACTTTACACTTTACACCCCACACTCCACACTCCACACTGTACACTTTAAACAATATACTTTACACTCTGCACGTTACACTCCACACCCTACACTTTGCACACTACACTTTACACTCTACGCTCTTCACTCTACGCTCCATACTTTACACTTTACACTCCTCATTCCTCACTGCACACCTTACACTCCACACTCCACACTTTACACTCCACACTTTACACACTCTACAGTGTACACTTTACACTCCATACTGCACACTCCACACTCCTCACTTTACACACTAGACTTTACACTCTACACTTTACACTCCACACCGCACACTCTACGCTTTACACACTGCACTTTGCACTTTACACTTTGCACTCTTCACTCTACACTCCATACTTTATACGTTACACGTTACACTCCTCACTCCTTACTACACACTTTACACTCGACACTCCATACTTTACACTCCACACTCTACACTTCACACTCTACACTTTACACTCTACACTCCACACTTTACACTTTACACTCCATACTCCACACTGTACACTCCACACTCCACACTCTACACTTTACGCTCCACACTCTGCACTCTACGCTTTACACACTACACTTTATACTCTACACTTACACTCCACACGCTACACTTTAAACTCTACACTTGACACCCTACACTCCCACACCTTACACTTTCCACTGTGCACCCCTCACTCCACACTCCACCCTCTACACTTTACACTCTACACTTTACACTTTCCACTTTAGACTTTACACTCCACCCCACACTCTGCACTTTACACACTACACTTTAAACTCTACACTTTACACTCCACACTCTACACTCTACACACTACACGTTACACTCAACGCTCTTCACTCTACACTCCATACCTTACACTTTACACTTTACACTCCTCTGCCACTGCCAGGCATCAGCACCCATCTGCCACCTTCAGCCTGCGGGCTCCTTTGCTTCCCAGCAGCTACCTAAAAGAGCCCCGCTCCACATTGCCTGCCCAACCCACCCCCTTTCTTCCCTCCAATCTAACCATGTGCAACCACACCGCCAGCCACGCACCTCCCCCCCAACAATCAGCAGCCATTGCAACCTTCACTATGTGGGCTCCTTTGCTTCCCCATAAGCCAACCCCAAGAGCCGCCCCAAAGAAGGCCCCAAAGAGCCCGCCCAAGCCACGCTCTTGTCCCTCCAACCTTCCCCCCATCGTACACCCCGCCCCGAAACTCCAATCCGTCCCCTTTGTTTTTTTCCTTCCATTCCCTCTCTTCTTCCATTACTCTTTCCAAGTTTTTCCATTGTTCTGTTATGCTTTGACTCCATTTTTGCATCCTTTTACCCTCCATTCCACTCACCCCAAATGCACGTCGAAGGACGGACCAGGGGGGAATCGAACCCCACCGTCACCCAATTGCCACCTGGTACATCAGCCTCAAAATCGATCCAAAATCGACCACCATGGCCACCCTAATTAGGTGGGGAAGTGCCTCAAAATGGTCCGTTTGGAGACTACCACCCCCAGACCCCCTATTCTCACTTCGTTCGCAATGAGCAACTTCGCCATGCTTGACAGCTGGCTTTTGTAATAGTTCAGCCTGTGTGGTTTCAGACAGTTTCTAGCACATCAATTAAGTTGCATCGGCAAAGTTTGTCCCTCTCGCGGTTTTTGCTCGCAAGCTTTGCCGCGTCATGCTCTGCGTCCACCGGCAAGGCTTCGTCAACGCACAGGGACGGGGAGTTGTTGACCTCTCGAGCGAAGTCATCGCGCCGTCCGATCTGCTAACGACCAAGTTGGCTGTGGAGCATGCCGTATTCGACTTGACATGTTTCAGCTCCTTTAGCTATGGGCAGAAGAACTTGGTCTCATGCACATATTTTTTTGCTGGGAATCCTCGATATGGGCATGCAGTCGTATTGCGAGATGCAAATTTTTCCAAGGCAGCAATGCAACCATTGGGTAAGGGTGGGTGCAGGCTCAAAGGTGGATAAGTTGCAAGATGGCCATGCCAACCTCAGCGAACAAAAAAGACAATGTATGCATGCGTACATCTACCAGTAGTGCCGCACAAGACGGTGGCAGAAGTTTCAAAGATAGGAAACGTATAGTTTTGTAGGAGATGTGAGTTGTTGTGATTGACGGATGGCAGAGCGAACTGATGGACCGAAAGGTGGTTGAGGCTCTGAATCTCTCTCTCTCTGTCTCTCTCTCTCTCTCTACCTACCTATCTATCTAGCTGTCTAGTTTTCTAGCTATTTGTCTATCTATATATCTATCTATCTATCTATCTATCTCGCTATCTCTCTGTCTGTCTATCTATCTATCTATCTAACTAATCTAATCTAATCTAATCTCATCTTATCTATCTATCTATCTATCTGTCTATCTATCTACCTATTTATCTATCTATCTATCTATCTGTCAATGTATCTATCCTGTATCTATCTATCTGACTATCTGTCTATCTGCCTATCTGATCCCTACCCCCTTAGCGCGGGGGGCAAGAAAATGTAAATTACAGTTAGGCAGGTTGCTGGAGGCCAATAAATTGTAAGTTACATTTGTTTGGGCTGCCATGAATTTTTTATTTTACAATTTATTTTTCTTAAATGCTCCTGATTTTAACTTACATTTTTGAAGGCAAAATTGTCCAACTTACATTTTTTGGGTTGCCGACCCCAAAAATGTAAGCTTACAATTTTAGTGTCGTATAATCTCTTTATGGAGGCATCTGGGGAAAGGATGGAATCTCCATGGGTTTAGCCTGTCCCTCCCTCCCCATTCCAAGAAAAATTTCTTTAGATTGTTCTGTGACAACGTTGGGAAACCAGGGGTTCGATAGAGGGTAGGGGGCACCTAAACAAGTAACATGGTACGCGCCGCATGTGAATTTACATTTATTTGGAATGGGGGGGAGGGGTTGAAGAATGTATGTTGTCCACGCGGCGCGTACCATGTTTTGGACCCACGCCGGGGGGGTACGACTTACATTTGTTTTGACCCCTCCCTCCCCACCGAAAGAGGGCCTAAAGGGTGAGGATCCTATCTGTCTATTGGTCTATCAGTCTATCTGCCTATCCTATCTCCTAACATCTCTGATGAAGGTGTCTCTTGTACTACGCCTGCCACGCAAAATGCATCTTCGCAGAGCCTCTTCAAACGCCCCGCGGATGCCATCGGTTTTGCGACAGCCGCACTTCCCTCACTTTGGGCAAGGTGCAGGATCTAGACGACCTTTCACCATTTTGACTTGGAAATGAGCTTCGCGCCACGACAGCATGCACTTTTTCGACATCTCAACGTTCAAAATGCTCCACTTTACACTTGACACTCCATACTTTACACTCCACACTCTACACTTCACACTCTACACTTTACACTCTACACTCCACACTTTACACTTTACACTCCATACTCCACACTGTACACTCCACACTCCACACTCTACACTTTACGCTCCACACTCTGCACTCTACGCTTTACACACTACACTTTATACTCTACACTTACACTCCACACGCTACACTTTAAACTCTACACTTGACACCCTACACTCCCACACCTTACACTTTCCACTGTGCACCCCTCACTCCGCACTCCACCCTCTACACTTTACACTCTACACTTTACACTTTCCACTTTAGACTTTACACTCCACTCCACACTCTACACTTTACACACTACACTTTGCACTCTACACTTTACACTCCACACTCTACCCTGTACACACTACACGTTACACTCGACGCTCTTCACTCTACACTCCATACCTTACACTCTACACTTTACACTCCTCTCCCAACGCCAGGCAAAAGCACCCATCTGCCACCTTCACCCTGCGGGCTCCTTTGCTTCCCCGCAGCTACCTAAAAGAGCCTCACTCCACATTGCCTGCCCAAGCCACGCCCTTTCTTCCCTCCAATCTAACCATGTGCACCGCCAGCCACGCACCTCCCCCCCAAACATCAGCAGCCATTGGCAACCTTCACTATGTGGGCTCCTTTGCTTCCCAGAAGCCACCCAAAGAGCCCGCCCCAAAGAGCCCCAAAGAGCCCGCCCAAGCCATGCTCTTGTCCCTCCAACCTTCTCCCCATCGTGCACCCCGCCCCGAAACCCCAATCCGTCCCCTTTATTTTATCCTTGCATTCCCTCTCTTTTTCCATTACTCTTTCCAAGTTTTTCCATTGTTCTGTTATGCTTTGACTCCATTTTTGCATCCTTTTACCCTCCATTCCACTCACCCCAAATGCACGTCGAAGGACGGACCGGGGGGGAATCGAACCCCACCGTCACCCAATTGCCACCTGGTACATCAGCCTCAAAATCGATCCAAAATCGACCACCATGGCCACCCTAATTAGGTGGGGAAGTGCCTCAAAATGGTCCGTTTGGAGACTACCACCCCCAGACCCCCTATTCTCACTTCGTTCGCAATGAGCAACTTCGCCATGCTTGACAGCTGGCTTTTGTAATAGTTCAGCCTGTGTGGTTTCAGACAGTTTCCAGCACATCAATTAAGTTGCATCGGCAAAGTTTGTCCCTCTCGCGGTTTTTGCTCGCAAGCTTTGCCGCGTCATGCTCTGCGTCCACCGGCAAGGCTTCGTCAACGCACAGGGACGGGGAGTTGTTGACCTCTCGAGCGAAGTCATCGCGCCGTCCGATCTGCTAACGACCAAGTTGGCTGTGGAGCATGCCGTATTCGACTTGACATGTTTCAGCTCCTTTAGCTATGGGCAGAAGAACTTGGTCTCATGCACATATTTTTTTGCTGGGAATCCTCGATATGGGCATGCAGTCGTATTGCGAGATGCAAATTTTTCCAAGGCAGCAATGCAACCATTGGGTAAGGGTGGGTGCAGGCTCAAAGGTGGATAAGTTGCAAGATGGCCATGCCAACCTCAGCGAACAAAAAAGACAATGTATGCATGCGTACATCTACCAGTAGTGCCGCACAAGACGGTGGCAGAAGTTTCAAAGATAGGAAACGTATAGTTTTGTAGGAGATGTGAGTTGTTGTGATTGACGGATGGCAGAGCGAACTGATGGACCGAAAGGTGGTTGAGGCTCTGAATCTCTCTCTCTGTCTCTCTCTCTCTCTGTCTCTCTCTCTCTCTCTACCTACCTATCTATCTAGCTGTCTAGTTTTCTAGCTATTTGTCTATCTATCTATCTATCTATCTATCTCGCTATCTCTCTGTCTGTCTATCTATCTATCTATCTAACTAATCTAATCTAATCTAATCTCATCTTATCTATCTATCTATCTGTCTATCTATCTACCTATCTATCTATCTATCTATCTGTCAATGTATCTATCCTGTATCTATCTATCTGACTATCTGTCTATCTGCCTATCTGATCCCTACCCCCTTAGCGCGGGGGGCAAGAAAATGTAAATTACAGTTAGGCAGGTTGCTGGAGGCCAATAAATTGTAAGTTACATTTGTTTGGGCTGCCAAGAATTTTTTATTTTACAATTTATTTTTCTTAAATGCTCCTGATTTTAACTTACATTTTTGAAGGCAAAATTGTCCAACTTACATTTTTTGGGTTGCCGACCCCAAAAATGTAAGCTTACAATTTTAGTGTCGTATAATCTCTTTATGGAGGCATCTGGGGAAAGGATGGAATCTCCATGGGTTTAGCCTGTCCCTCCCTCCCCATTCCAAGAAAAATTTCTTTAGATTGTTCTGTGACAACGTTGGGAAACCAGGGGTTCGATAGAGGGTAGGGGGCACCTAAACAAGTAACATGGTACGCGCCGCATGTGAATTTACATTTATTTGGAATGGGGGGGGAGGGGTTGAAGAATGTATGTTGTCCACGCGGCGCGTACCATGTTTTGGACCCACGCCGGGGGGGTACGACTTACATTTGTTTTGACCCCTCCCTCCCCACCGAAAGAGGGCCTAAAGGGTGAGGATCCTATCTGTCTATTGGTCTATCAGTCTATCTGCCTATCCTATCTCCTAACATCTCTGATGAAGGTGTCTCTTGTACTACGCCTGCCACGCAAAATGCATCTTCGCAGAGCCTCTTCAAACGCCCCGCGGATGCCATCGGTTTTGCGACAGCCGCACTTCCCTCACTTTGGGCAAGGTGCAGGATCTAGACGACCTTTCACCATTTTGACTTGGAAATGAGCTTCGCGCCACGACAGCATGCACTTTTTCGACATCTCAACGTTCAAAATGCTCCGAGCATGAGGCTTTTTTTGCATTTTGACTTCGGCATGTGCTTCGTGCCGCAACGGCGTGCGCGTTTTGAACATCTGACCTGCCAAAAGCGGTGCGAACGTATGGTGTAGCCGGCATTTTGGCTTGTAACTGGGCGTTGCGCCGCAACAGCATGCGAATTTTCAATGACTCACCTTCCAAACGCGTCAAAATTGTTCCGTTTTGACGTGGACATGATCTTCGCGTTGTCTAAAATTAAACAGGTTTGAATTTGACGTTTGTAGTGAGGCGCACGCGGAACGGTTAGGTTGACGGAGAGGCCGACAGTGAGGTTGACGGGTTCTCTTTTGTGACGGTGAGGTTGGCGGAGAGGTCGACGGTGAGGCCGTCAAAGTGTCTGTCAAGGTGTCCGTCGCAACAGAATAAGGCCTACTTGTCCCATTTTTATGAAGTAATACAAATAGGCCTTATTTTGTTGCGGCGGACACCTTGACGGACCGTCAACCTCACCATCGACCTCTCCGTCAAATTAACTGTCATGAAACACGGATCCGTCAAACTCACCGTCAAGGCCACCGTCACATGCAACCGTCGAGTTTCTGAGGTGTGACTAGAGCATACGCTCTAAATTTAGTTAAGCGTTGCGCCGATTTTTGATCTCTCATCCGCTGCTTTGGCAAGCCTATACTCTTCGACCCTCCGGAGCCACGCGGCGGTGGAAAATCAAAGCCTTTCGCGACTTGTCTACCTTTTCGTGCACTTTGATCTTCTTTCTCCTGACTCTTTCTCTTCTGTGGCTTCTTCTCTTCTGCCTGTATTTCTTCTGACTCTTCTCTCCGCTGTTGCAGCACCTGTCCATAAGTCGGAAGTTTGACTTCTAAGCTTCCTTGGATAATTGAAGCACGGATTGCTTCTAACTTCAGTGCTCATGAAACACCCGGCTTTCAATCCCTGACATGCGGCACACAAAATGGTGGGGTCATCCGACCCTACATCCTTTGAGGCCTCCAAAAGAAAGGCCTTGTATTTCTGGTCAAGCATGATGTCAAAACCAAAGATCTGGAGACGGAGACGGGTGCTTCAGCTTCTCGGCAGTGCGCAAAGGGTGGTATGGCTAGGAAAGAAGCACTTGTCAAAGTTCTTCTGTTGACTCATCTGGATTTATGCACATCTATCTTTTTCATTTCGAACAAGTCGTTTGCTTCTGGATGGCCTCAAAGTAAACCATGAGCCGAAGACACATGAGCATACGTAAATTACCTTTGGCCGCGTCAAGCTATTTCATTGCAGCGTCTGCCCAAGAAAGAACGCCTTCCAGCAGCCGTGCCTGGAAAGATTGCCTCCCTGCCTCTAGGCAATCTTCTGAGCGGGTTCGGCTCAGCAATACTGGCGCCATGACAGCAAGGCTCCTAATGCACGTAGGCTGGCTTAGTGAGGGAGCTATTCATCCGCGGACTGTTAAGGCATGTTGGCCAGGGGCTGCCTGGGCACTTCTCAAAAAGTATCATGCAATGATTAAAAGGAAGAACAAAGAATTCCTGTATGCAAGCAAACGCCTATTCGATTTTTATTCCGGTCTTGTTGAACGGATATCCAACGGAAATAGACAGCAGTGAGATCCATTCTATTCTATCATGAACAAAGTGCAAATACCTAAGCCGTTGGTCAGCAGGGGGCTTGTGCCGATTCAACTTTGTCTTCAACGCACTCTCATTTTCAGGGAGTTGACCCCTAGGTGTGGCTAAAGAGGTACGGTCAAGGTGATTCCAGACGCTGTTTCTTTTGCCATTCATTTGTAATGGATGAGTGGCTTCAAAAGTTGCAGACGTTCAGATTTCCAAAAATTAGTACTCATGTCTAGATTTTTTGGCCTGCATGTATAGGTGGCTCAGGTCTGCTGGGGTAGCTATCTGCTGGGACGGGTATGAAAAGGATGCAGGATGCAACGCTGAGATGCGGCAGGGTGCGCCAGGGTGTGACAGGGCGTGAGCAATAGGGCAGTTTGCTTCTTCAAATTCACCTGACCTTGTAGTCTCTTGGTTTGAGACATGGCACAAACACATGAGCTTCACCAAATCGGCATCACGCTCCTGATATCCGAAATCAATCCAGAATCACCAAGGCGGCCAAGGTGGCCGGGAAAAATAGCGGATGACCAGTGCAGTATATCATTTCCCCATTGCACATTCCAGTCATGTGGCTTCTTCAAGACTACGGCACGCTCAAAAATACATACACAAATTCCAATAGGCTCTTGGTTTAAAGATATCCCCTGGGCAAAAAAAGAACATTGCCTTCTATACAGAATCCATTGGATATCTTGACCCATATACATGACATGAGCTTGCCAAGTGCATGCATGATAAAACAGTGTCATTGAAACCTGCGAGTCTAAACCATTGAGTCAAGATTTGTAAGAAAGGGAACACACATGACCATGAAATGCATGGCAAACTGACGTTGGCATGCAGTTGTTTTTGCTTTTCAACGTTGACGTCTTCCAACAGCAGCAAAAGAAGGCAAGGTACAATTAAATCAGGTGAACAAACATGATCCAAGTTTTCGCGACTTTCAAGTGGGGCCCAGCTTAAAGTCATGGGCAACCTTGTGTATCTTTTGGCAGTCCCACCCCACTGCTGAAATGTCCAAAGGCAAGACTGGGGTGACTTCGGTCAACTTGGGTCCTTTGAACAATCACCTGCACATCACTGTAGAAGGCTTCAATGTCGAAGTCTGAATACTCCTACAGCAAAGAGCTCCGCTTCGGCTGCTTCAAAGTTGGCATTCTCTTACTTTCGGATCTTCCGTACCCGTTTCAGCGTGCATTTCCTTTGGAAACCAACGTGTCAAATTACATCAACGTTTTCATCAGAAAGCGCTTCCTGATAGTCATGAAACAAGATACTTGGATTTGCAACGCGCAGCCAAAAGCATCGAAACGTAGCGCAAATGGACGACAGTCTTTGAGTATTTTGCAAAGCTTGTTTCGATTATTTTGCAAAACTTGTACCCACCTCTCTCTCCCTGTGCTCCACACACTCACATACTTCTGTATATATATATATCATATATGTTGACGTGTACATATATATATATACACATATGCATATGCATCTACATACTTTTCCGTCAGCGCTTGCAGTTGAAAAGGACTGACTATACGCGAAGGAAGTTTAGAAGTCAAACTTCCGACAATATGGACAGAAGGAAAAGCAGAGGTGGGAAGAGTCAGAGAAGAGAAGAGAAGAAGAGACAAGATCAGAGAAGAGAAGGAGTCAGAAGAAAGAAGATCCAGGTGCGGGAAGAGGTAGGAAAGTCGCGAGAAGCTGTGTTTTTCCAATGATTTGTCGCTCTGGAGGGTCGAAAAGTAGGCTCGCTGAAGCGGCGGGTGCGGAGCAATCTGGCCAGATGAGAGATGAAAAATTGCACGCCATTGTGGCGCGAAGCCCTTTTTGAATCAAAATGCACAAAGCACCTCAGCTTCGGAGCGCTTTTGGAAGGTGAGATGACGAAAAGTGCACGCCGTTGTGGTGTGAAGCACATTTCGAAGCCAAAGTTTACAAAACACTCCATGCTCGGGCCACTTCTGGAAGTTGCGACGTCGAAAAAGTGCACGCTGTTGTGGCGCGAAGCACAATTCGAAGTCAAAAGTGTAAAAAACTGCCGGGTTGGAACACTTTTGGACCTTCAGATGTCCTTTTGCGTGGCAGGCGCAAGGGATTATGCACCTTGTCAACAGTGAGCAAAACGTGAGGGTTTTTGTCGCGTTTCCAAAAACGATGGCAGGCGTGGGGAAATTGCAGAGGATCTGCAAAGATGCATTGTTCGTGGCAGGCGCAGTACAAGAGATATGTTCATCAGAGATGTTAGGAGGCTAGGGCGCTGATTTCCTGAGAGGCGTTGCATTTTGGAGCATCAGATCTGTAGGTTCGATGAGATGATTTTGCGTTACAGGTGCAGCATTCCTATGACCTGGCATCAATTTTTCGTGGCAGGCACAGTACTTTAGACAGGTGGAGTGGAAAAATCCCAAAACGCACTGGTACGAGGCCGTCAGCTCTGCACTCAACTTTCCATTTTAAGGACGCCTCGCAAAATTGCTTCGTTTTTGACGTTGTCAACTTCCCAAATTGAAGAGTCTCGCAGAATAGCTTCGTTTTTGATGTTGTCAAGTTCAAAAGTTGAGGAAGTCTCGCAGAATTGCTGCGCTTCTGATGTTGTCGAGTTCAAAAATTTGGGATGTCTCGCAGAATAGCCTCGTTTTCAAACTTGCAGATAGGCAGATAGATAGATCGATAGATAGATAGGTAGATAGGTGGATAGGTAGAAAGGTAGATAGACAACTACAACTACAAGTACAGCTACAACTGCAACTACGCTACCACTGCAAATACAAATAGACTACGCTACAGTAAACCAATTTCACTACCCTACACTAATTACACTAGACTAACTACACTACAACCACTACAACTAACACTACCATTACTACTGCAACTACGAATACTACTACAGCTACAGCTACAACCTACAGCTACAACTGCAACTACACTAACTACACTAACTACACTAACTACACTACACTACACTAAGCTACACTACACTAGACTACAACAGCAACAACTACAACTACAACTGCGCTACATTACACAACACTACGCTACACTAATTACACTACACTACAACTACAACTACAACTACAGCTACAACTACAACCACACTACGTTACACTACACTACGCTAATTACACTACACTGCACTACACTACACTACACTACGCTACGCTACGCTACACTAACCACAACTGCAACTACAGCTACACTGAACTACACTACACTACACTAGACTACACAAGGCTACACTGCGCTAGACTACACTACAGCACACAACACCACAGCACTACACTACATTACATTGCACTACACTCATTACACCACACCACAACTACAACTGCAACTGCAACTGCGCGACACTAATTTCACCACGCTACAAGCACAGCTCCACTACACTACAGCTACAGCTACAGCTGTAGCTGCACTACAGCACACTACATCCAGCAGTTGTGGGTGAGGTGACCGCTGCAACCATTGCAACCACTCCAAAAACACAACTCCAACCACCTCTCGGTCCATCAGTGGATTCGCTCTGCCACCCATGCATTACAGCAACTCACCTCTCCTATAGTGTCCTATCTTTGAAACTTCCGCCACCGCCGTGTGTGGTACTACTGGTAGGATTCACCCAATCACCACCTAAAACAGGCAAAGCATGTGCAAACCAAGTCAAAAACCACCTCCCACCACCTCTTGACGCCCAGTGGTTGCACATCCAGCGACAAATGAGGTATCCTCAGCCAGTTGCCTTAGGCAGACGGTCAAGGGTCTCTTCGATGAGGTATTCTCATCCCCAAAGACCTCCTCCATGGATTGGCCACAATGCTCAAATTTGTGGCCTTAGCCAGATGGGGAAACAGCCAGGCAAACGCTGGGAACTTGGATGCGCGCAAACAAGGATTTAATCCTAGAAAAACTGGCTCAATATTGGGCCTAAGATTTTTTCGATGCATATCTGCGGTATTTAGTGGTATTTTTTCTTCAAGCTAGTTTCCACATGACACCAAAAGAAAAACGCACTTCAAAAAGGGCCCAATATGACCGTAGGAAGGTGTGAACTTTCTGGTGGAGAGCCCGTTGCGTGACAATGCCCTCTGTTCAAAACTGCAAGCCGCAAATGTAGCACTCTTGTCTGAATGGAATGACCTGATGGGACTGTGCAAAAGGCATGGAGCCAGCCTGCCTCCTTCCAATTTGAGAACAGGGGGGAGAACGAGAGGTGTGTAGCTGTGAAATCTTGTGACAGTAGATGAGGAACGGGTGAATGCCGAACGCAGGTTTTCTTGGTTGCCTTCTGTCAGGATCGACCAGTCACATTTTCCAGGAACGCAGGTGCAACTTCCATGGCATGTAGGTGACGCGGATGATAATCTGAGAAAAAACTATTGTAGAGGCAATGGTGAGGATAATGATCAAGATGATGATGCCGATGATGAAAATGACGACGAGGATGAGGATGACGATGAGGATGCAGGATGAGGACGAGGATGTGCCTAGCCGTGATAAAGATGAGGAAGAATGAGGAGGAAAATGATGAAGGCTATAGCTATGACGCGCGCAAAAAAAGCACCCAACATGGAAGCCTCGCAGGGCAAGGAAAAACTAAGAAACTTGCATGCAACAACCTCTTCGAACCTGTACAGTACAAATTGGTAGCAGCACGATGCATGAACATACCCTGATTTAAGGGGATGAATCCCTTCATAACCGAAAAAGCACACCACTTCTGTGCCGTCCTCTGCCCTGAAAAGGGCGCCGAAAACTCAGATAGCTGACGCTATCTGTCCCGGCATATAGATAGATATAGATATAGTTAGCACATTTGTGATGGGGTGATGATAGCGACGTGCAGCCGAGACTCTGCGTTTGTTCAACGAGTAGTTGGTGAGGTGACCCATGCAGTGGTGCATGTTCTTTTGGTTCGGCTCTTCCTGCCAAAACAGAAGGTACAATATTTGAACCAAATCCATCTACTCTTGGCATCTGCTTTGAGACTGCATATTTTTTCCTGGCTACATGTTGAATTATGCAGGCTTGAATTTTGAAGCTGGACAGGCTCTTGCTTGGGTCGAGCATGTTTGTCATTGTCTTTTCCGAAGTGGAGAGATGATCACATGAACAGCTTTTCTGGATGTGGTCAAGGTTCACAGATCAATAAGTTATATTTACAGCAAGTCAGAGCCTATAAATGTCTATAATATGAACAGTATACGGTTCATAAGCTGATCATCGCTGCCTTGTTTGGAAGCTCCGCTTCCCGAATCCGGGCTGCACCTTCTGCTGACCATGGACCGGCAAACTAACAGGATCAAGGCACGTACGTTTCCGTGCAGAAACGCGCAAGACCTTCTCGACAAAGTTGAATCAATGGCGGGCACTCACCTCACACTCAGCGCGTCGGCGAGAAATTAAGGCGGGCAACACAGTCGCAACGCGCTTCTCAACTAGACGTAACTTGACAGTGTAAAACATAATGGAGCAGGACCATGCCAAGACGAGGCACCCATCGAGCCTCCTGCTACGAGCACATACATTCGCATATCAAACTTGAGTCCGCCGAGCAGAAGCGGTTTGCCTCCAAACTGAATCACGCTGCGCTCATGTTCCACTCTGGATTCTCTCATGGGCTAGCGGCTCATGTGATCAGAACGCTTTGTTCCAGATGAAACAAAGAGTAGGCAAGCGTCTTGATTCCTACATCAAACTTTGCAAGCAGCAAAAACCGCACAAACATGTTTTCTGGGGAATTTAGGAAAAAGAATTAGGGATCAGCTGTTGCAACAACATTGCGAAGAAAACCTTTCTGGAATCAGAGCCTTCTGAATCCTTGAACTTGATTTATTTCTTAAAGTTTCCCAGTGAAGCACTGGTTGGGGCCCAAAAGCTTCCTACAGAAGTTCAATTCCATATAAACCGGAAGTAAAGACAATGGCAGAGAGGGCGAACAAAGTGAAACACAAACTGACCATGGGGAAAGAGTCCCTGCATAGGTGCAGTGCCCGAATGTTTCCGAACCCTGCAGCGATGAGCCTAGAGCAGAATGTTCAAAGGTTTTGCAGTTTTGAATTATTTCCTCCATGGCTCCAATCTGGATCCAATAACCCTAAGGGACACAACACTCAAATACAAATAGTTAAATGCCAATACCCTGTTGAAATCCATTTAAACTCGAGCAGCTAGCTGCTGCGTTGTGTCAATCCTAACTTGAAGTAAAGACCGGCGGTCAAGGCAATCCATGAACATCCACGAGCATGATCATATAAACTAGATGACGGTTGGCCCGAGAGCGAAAAAGACGTTTTTCAAGCAGCTCTGAGCATGGTAGTTGTAAAAAATAGTCGGTGAATGGTTGGTGAATTTTATATGAGCTATGGAGGGATAAATTGTGAAAAGTAAGATTGATTAAGAAGAGGATATATGTGACAACCCATGCATATGCACTGTGCTGCTTGGTAAAGGGCATCATATGACACATATCTTGCAACCGCAGAAAGACATAGATAGAGAGAAAGAGAGAGAGAGAGAGAGAGAGAGGGAGGGAG